ATAGATTAAAGGTCCTATTTCTGTTTCATTTTCAAGCGAATCTTGGAATAACTTATTTTAAAATTTACTGAGTTTTATAAGCACATACATTCATAATATTTGTTTCCAAGGATACGAAAAAATCCAATCATTTTGACAAGGGGCAGTAGCGTGTTCATTTTTACTGTATTTTTACTATTGCTATTGTATCAAATATGAGTTACTTTCGAAAAGAGGTTAAGTCTAGGTAAAATAGGGGTGCCTTTTTCAACGAATTATGACATCCGTTCAACGCATGTCGTCTGGTTTTTATCAACGACAAAAAGTTTTTCAGCATTTTTTCCCGTTAAATTTGTATTTGTATACATAAAGATTCTTTCTGAAAGTGGTGTTTGGGTAAGAATACGTTGTATTTTAACTACAATTTTAAAATATTATTTTTAATTATAATTACTAATAGACTATATTTCTTTTTAAAACAAATAAATATAATAGAATTATTTAAATTATTTAAAAATTATTATTAAATATCAAATATAAGTATGTATATTTCTTTTATCAGCTTTTTAAAAACATTATTTAAGGAAAATTTTTGACAATGTCGACAAAGAATAGCTATTTCATTTCTTTGATTCAGTAAATTTTTATTTTTTATAAACCTAATAATATATAGTTGCTCATGCATGCACAAAGTGCATTGGTCATTTAATGACCTACATATTTTAGCTTTTCTTATTAATTTCCATTTTACTGTAGGTGTTTAGTTGGTTTCTTTTGAGTGCCAGAAATATTTCGATAGGGACGTCTCATTCCGGTATTTATTTATCCTAAAAGAACTTTGATGTAGATTGAAGCTTTTTCTTTTTTTTTTTGAACTCATGCCTTGTACATCAAATATAGACTTTTACGTTGTCTGGATCCTCAATAGATGAGATATTTCATTGGTATACTAATGATTCAGTGCGACATTTATTTTTCAGAGGACAGTTTTGAGGATTTCTGCAGTTACATAATTTTTATTTATCTTCATCTCTTTTTATTTTTATACTGTCTAAATTTGTTTGGTCTTGGTCTAAGTGTTTATTCAAGATATTAGCATTATATTTCTTAATAATTTTTTCTAAGTTTTCAGTACAGCTGTAACTTAAATTTTAGGGTATTTTTATTGAAAATAGTACTGAGTTTACTATCTTTAGGAAAATGTTTAACGATTAATGCAAGAGCTGGATAACCTTTACAAAGACGTCTTAGTAATGGCAAGTGGAGACTACGATGACCTAACGTTAAAACCAATATGACAAACAAAAAAATTGCCATGCAATCGGACTGCATATGTGTGCATGGTGCTTAAACGCTACCGGGCGGGTTGTTTACAGGACCTCCGTGTAGGTTATGTTTCTAGCACAGTTGTTGGGAGAGTAAATGAAAACCCTGTCCTTAGACCCAACTCGTGAGCACCCAACGTAAAGTTGTCTGTGAGAGAAGCACTGCTCACGTAAATGCAGACCTGCGATGCTAAGCGTCTGTCCTTGTGATTTGTTAATCGACATAGCAAAACAAATCTTCACGGGAAATTGTGAGCGACGAAAGTTGATTGGTATGCTTGCGTCTGACGACAGAAGATGCATCCTGGGAATCAGAACGACTTCCCCCTTGCCGCAGCCAATTGCAATGGTCGCCTCAATCAGTTTCGGAGAAAGGGATTTAATAATGAGGCGAGTCCCGTTGCACTGTTTAGGTGGGAGCAAATTCCTGATTAACATAATCGGAGCACCAACTTTGAGACGAAGAATATGAGGTGGGAGTCCGGACGGCTGAAGGGAGTTCAAAACTTCTATGGGATACTCAGCTAATTCAGATGGATCGGAAATTCTGTCGATGGACATAAACATGACATTGCCCGGGAATGCAATCCAACAGCTTAAGGTTGATGGAATCAACTGTACAGTTCTTCGGTGCCAATATGGCCCTCCCAGCAAGCCAATCGGCATCGGCAAAATTAGATGATAGGTTGTAGAAGACTGCATTCATCAATACATCCGGTGATTCAACAGTGGTGGCAAGCTGATCCATCTTCACAAAACCGTGTGTGTCAGATGGCATTTTCCCCTCCCCAAGAGCAAGAAGGTCCCGTGCGAAGTCAGCGGATCTGGAGTCCCCATTCAAGTAGGCAGTTTAAGAGTCTCCACGTGGTGCCAAAGGGCAGACGACTTCAGGCAGGCATGGACAGGGTCAGCACGTGTACCTTTAGGAATAACAGGTAGAGTCTGTCTAACGTCGCCTGCGAGGAGAAGTGTTACTCCACCCATGGGGTCGGAGGAGTCGCGGATGTCTTGGAGACTTCGGTCAAGTGCCTCAAGGGCGTCCTTGTGTGCCATCGTGCACTCATCCCAAACTATAAGGTTGCATCTCCGCAAAACTTCAGCCTGTGGCGAATTCTTTGTTATGTTGCAGAGAGGAGTTTGTGACCGGCATAGATCAAGCGGCAACCTAAAAGCCGAATGAGCGGTTCTACCTCCCGGTAGCAATGTTGCAGCAATCCCGGAAGATGCGACCGCAATAGCGATCTCCGACGACGCCGTACCTCTGCCAGGACTAAATTAGTAACAAAAGTTTTGCCAGTTCCTCCGGGCGCGTCTAAAAAAGTATATACCTCAATGGCGCCGTTTGCCCTGTCTGTTATAGTAGTGAAAGCAACCTCTGATCAGGTAGAAGTTTGGGCTCATTTTCGGTAATGTATGCGTTCAGCCCCTCGATGGAGTAGGATGTTTCCCGCAATAACTCAGTTGGTACAGTGTCAAAACCATCTCTGAGCGGTGGTGGTAAACCGTAAGTTGGTAAAGAGGCACCTCCCAGTTCGAAAACAACATCTTCTAGGGCCACCAGCGCTCTGTTTAATATGAAGTCAGTGAAAACGCATTCAACTCCTGGGCTGTTACGCTGAACGGAGAACAGCACATCCTCTGACATGGATTCTCTGTACTTTAGTCAGAGCGACAGAGGATCGCTTAGTTCGCATCGAAAAAGCAAAATGGCGAATAGCGTTCGAAGCCGTGATGGCGTTCTGAGAAGTTCAGCCTCCGCCATGGCTGCATCCCATTGGGAGTCATCTTCAAGCAATCCCAAACGGAAGCATGCCTCTCTATAAGACTGGCATTCTATGCCTTTGATAGTGCGAATATCTGTGAAACTCGTTAGCCCAGCAATTTCATGAAGTAGAAGGCGGAGGTAAAAGCACTCCTGCTGGCTGGGGGGCACAGTATAAACGCGTCCAAGGCAAAAGTTAGACCTTACATCGGGATAACCCTCGACAGGGTCACCAACCTTTCGTCGAACCCACTGGTTGTTTGACCACACATAGTAGGACGGGACTTGGGGGTATATCAATGTTTTGGCAAAAGCATCTGTTGAGCTTAATTTAAAGAAAGCCGTTAGGGTTGTGTCTTTAGGGTTTTCCGCAACCTGCTGGGCGTTTTGTTCGGTGAAGTACATCCTCTGTCCATTTTCTAAGTGAACAGCAAGCTGCACAATGGCTGGAGCCCTTTGGTGTATGGGGAATCCGAAAATTCGCCAAAAAGCCTCGCTACTGCTGAGATAGCGTCCAGCCACGTAATCGGCCACCTCGTCAACGCAATTGTCGCGCCGGATACCGAAGACGGCAGCATCGCTGCCTTTATTAACGTACTTGCAGATGTACTTTATTGACTTAACCGAGTGGCAGTATTCAACGTTTATGTGGGCTCCAAAAGTCTTGGACAGCAGCGGGCAATAAGGCACCACCCAACTATTGTCCAGAGTGTGCCCCTTAACCGTCACAGTTCTGCCGCCCTCAGCGGGGCTTCTACGTCTGTACAGTGGGTAACCATCCGTCGCAGTCTGCGTTTCTGAGATAAACTTACGGGGGTAACCCTTTGCGCAAGTGAGGCCGCTTGACCAACATGACCTTTTTTCGTAATTCGCACCACAGGGGCCGTGTATCATATTTTTTTTAATGATTTCGTGGAACAAAGCTCCAGCGCAGGATCCGGAATTTCAGCAAAAATAAAATCGTCTATTTTGTTTGCGTCAACCTTATTGTTGAGCCACAGCAGGATGTGGGCATGAGGCAAACCGCGTTTCTGCCATTCCACTGTGTACATATGACACTTGGCGCGTTCGAAGACTTGCCCTTTAAGGATCAAATCCATAAGCTTAAGCAGCTGTAACCGGAAAACGCGGGCAATTAGGTCAGGGCGGTGTGAGTACTGCTGACCTGGAAAAAGTTCGCGTGTAATATCAACCCATTTCGGATTGCACGTGAACGTGATGAACAAATCAGGCCTCCCACAATGACGGACATAGGTCATTGCGTCTTGTGTCCTTTCATGCATGTATCGAGGGCCACCAGTGTAAGAGGAAGGCAAAATGCACGGTTTGCCGAGATTGCGTCGGTCACCATCAGAACGCAGACCATCACGAAGGTGAATGGAGGAGTCAGTTCGAAGTTTGGATTGGTTTAACTTGATGAATCCTAACCTCTCTGACTCCATTTTTGCAGCCATGTCAACAGCGAATTTAAGAAATAGTTGACGGCACCTGTGCAAGTGGTTAAATTCACCCTCCCTAACCATAAACATGTAGGCGTAGTAAGCCCTACAGGAGACTGTCTTTGAGGTCGACATGGAATCGCTGCTTGCCTGACATATTGGGATTTTGAAGTGGTACCCATCGCTTCCGTATGGAAAAAGAAGGGGGTACTGGAGACAGTCGTATGAACAGTGGGTTTCACTGATGCGGCGCAGACCACCGCCCCGGTATTTTATGACAATGTCACGGCTGTTATGCTCCTCACCGTGGATGACTGCGGCAATTTCATTACATACAAGAGCATTGAAGCGACGCTCATGCTCACCGTGAGGCCGTCTGTCTGCATCGATGACATCACTGAAAGAGGGCAAAGAGTTGTTTTGCAATGCAAACTTTAAGCTTCGGATGTAACTGTTAGTTTCGTGAAGCATGTCTTGTAGACGGAACAGAATGTCTCAACGGGGACCGATGGAAATATCGCTAGGCAGAATGCCGAGATGCGCATCAACCTGCTCGTTGTAGTCTGCGAGAAAGTAAATTTGTAGGAACTGAGGTGGCTCTTCCTGATCAGCCAAAAGTGATCCCATTAAGTGGTAAACCTGGCCTTGCACTTTGAAAGTAGGCATCCATCCCCCTTCACTAATAGCCTTCACACCAAAAGACGTCATCTGGAAGCAACAGTTATACTTCCGTATTGCTTCAAGAAAATGCGAAGTTGTACCCAGAAGGAGGTCCCTAAGTGGCTGGGGAGGCTCGTCTAAAGAAGGGAGTTTGATTTTGCCCCCAGAGCAACAAAGCCCAGGTTGCTCACCGGCCCACTTTTTTGCGTTGCAAAAAGTGCAAACTTTATCCATGGCCCCTATTTGTACGTCTCTCCTAGCGGAATATTTGACAGTGCAGTCATAATTGTATGCGACATTTGACCAAAATGATGTAGACGGCGAAGTTACGCCATTCAAAGAAGCTCGAAATGAGCTAATGTTTTCGAGCCGTTGACGGCGTACTTCAGAGTTTTCTGCAACCCTGGTAGATGCAGTAGAGCGGGTATTTCTAACGCGACGAACAGTGGTCTGTGCAGGGCTTTCTAGAGCTCTAGCAGATGCAGTGGAGCGGGCATTTATAATGCGACGAACAGTGGTCTGTGCAGGGCTTTCTAAGGCTCTGGCAGATGCGGTGGATAGGGCATTTCTAAAGCGACGATGAGCGGTTTCTTGAGGTTGTTCCAAAGCTCTAGAGGCGGCTGTAGCCCTAGTATTCCTATGACGACGTGAAGTTGTTTGTTCGGGGCTTTCTAAACTTCTGAAGCAAGCATCACGCAAACGACGAAGGGTTTTCTGTGTTGGGGACTGTGAAGCCCTCAACCTAGCCACGGGTACTGCGCCCTGTGAATTCTGAAGTGAACGTTCTTCAACTGAAAGCCTGGCGCGGCGTGAGGACATAGTTGAAGCCGCTGAAGCCAACCTTTCAGTCCGCGCAGCGGCGCTTTCCATGGATAAGCGAGCAGCTGAGCTCGAGTCCATCTGTGAAAGACGCAAAGAAGTCTGTTCAGGGGTTTCACTCGCCCTCGCTGCTCTATCAGCAGAGGCAGCTGCCGTGCGCCGTCCCAAAAGTTTCCTCCTTTTAGGTGGCATCCAAACAGTAAAAACGTCAAAGAGGGTAAAGCTTAAAAAGAGATTTCGACAAATCCAAAAATCGTGCACTGCTAACGTAGACACAAAAAGGGAAACACCCAGTAAAATGAGTTCAGATGTTACTAAAGGGGAACTTGAAACTAAAAAAGTGGAAATTTAAAAAGGTATGCCAAGGGTAAATCCAAAAGGAAACGGATTTTTAGTACAATTGGCTAACGTGTGTAGGGTTGGGTTGGAACTATAAAACAAAAAAGCAGCTAGAACACGTAATAAGAAATTGCGGTATCCGAAGTTGGCAAATAAAGTAGGCCAAGTACGTGCACGTGGGCAACAATAAACGCAAAAGTGTGAAAGCACGCCCGAGTCACGCAGTAGAGATGGTTGACCTTGAGTGACGTTCCACTCTCTTTAAAAAATCGGCCAGCGAAAGAGGAAATCACGGTAGCTATCGCTGTCATTAATGTAGGGAAAGGTCGGTAATAGTGACCGTCCCTCTCAACACAAACCTTAGGTGAAAGAAGAGAGAGTGAGAATACCCCTCTCTCTCTTAGCGAATATTGCGTATCCTGTTGCGTTAGTGCGTGTATGGAGGCCGTCCGTAAGAGGAGGAGGGGGATGACCTTGGCGCCCGAAAAGCACCAACGTGTGGACAATTATTGAAGTTTAAAATGTCAATTATGAGTCGAAGTTCGCTGATGAAACGACGAAAATTCTCGTAAACCCTTAAGCAAGACATACAGAAGCCCCTCGTAAAAGACTTACCTGCAGGAACCAAAAAAAAAAAAAAAGGAATTTAGCAGAAAAGTCGGGTACAAGTTAAGTACTGTGTTCTTTCCTTAATAATTTTCATCTTCAAAATATTTTTGTTTTTTGTCTATCAGATTTCTTACGTCGGCATTTTTAAATTATTTCTTAATACTTTCTTTTAAATATTGAATTAATTTCAAATAGAAGCAATTCATTATCGTTGCCTTGTACCAAATTGCAAAGGGAATTATAAAAACGGCCCTAAAGAATTATCTTATGTTTGGATTCGTACAATCAGTAGAGATCGTTAGATTATAAGGTTGACGGACACGCATGTCTTAATTAGTTTTTTTTTTTTTTACGAATTGGTCAAACCCAAACTGAAACAAAAACATTGTTTTCAATCGTTATGAGTCTACTGATTGAATAGAATTTTAAACAATTGTCTTGTAAATGGAATTTTTAAAGCATTCTGAATGTAAAAATAAAGAAAAAAGTGCGCAAGAAAATAAGAAACACTACCTGCCAAAAAAAAAGTGAAGTTTTGTTGAAACGGTTGAAAATTGTAGGAAATCCGATCCCATATATAAATGAACACACACACACACACACACACACACAAACAACATGGGTTTTTAAGTTGATGTGAGTTGTCCCCCTTTCATTAATGCCTCTTAATCGTGTTTTCAAATTGATTTTCTGCAAAAAACAATTGAGTTTTTGCAATTTTTGGTGCTGTTAGAACCACCGCAAGGTAATTTTATGTAGTCCTGTGAAGTTTTGTTGAAATCGGTTGAAAAATGTAGGAAATTCGATCCAATATATAAACGTTACAGACACACACACACACACACACACACACACACACACACACACAATCTGCGTTTTATAATAAGTAAGATAAGATGTGGGGCCAAAGTCGGGACCACAGAAGGAAAACACGGAACACGGATTAGATGTAAGAAAGATATATTAACAACAGGTTACAGAGATAGTGTAAGCGGAGCTTACTATATGTTAGTGTCCAATATTGGTAGTCGTACGCGGCTCTTTCTGTGTCTCTGTGTCTCTCTAGAGTGTTGTGTCGTATACTTAATATAGACCTGGAAGAGTCTATTGTGTAGGTAGTTCCGGTCTCACAATACCCCCCTTCCAAGAGTTTTCTTTTTGAAAAGGAGAGAAAAAATAAAACTGTTAATAGTTTTTCCTCTTGGGATTTACGTCGAGCGGTTGAGTAAATTTCCTTTTCCTTCCTGAGCGTCGCACTCCAGGAGAGACTTGGGGCGTTTCGAGATCGAAGTGATCGAAAATTACATCGATCAGCTTTTCACAGCTATTTTGTAGTGATTCCTCAGATTCCTTCAAACGGCATTTTCTGAGATGGTTCCAGTGGCGTTTGTAATTGTTTTTTGGTCCTTGGACAATATAGACCAGTTCGCCAATTCTTTGTTTTATGGTGCCTACTTCCCAGAATGTTATGTTGTTTTTGTAAGCCTTGAGAAAGACTTTATCGCCAGGATTGAACTATTTCTTATGAGGCGATACGGTTTTTTTTTAACTTTGCTTGCCGTGGAATAAGTTTGTCGAAGACAGACTTGATTTTCCTTGCGAACATTGTTTCTGCAGGCGAGCTTCCCATAGGCGTGTTCGGATTAGGGGTTATCCGATACACCTGCAGGAACTGTTGCAATGCTCTATCTGTCGGTGTGCCTAGTACCTTTTTTAAAGCCCTTTTTAGAATGTCCACGAACCTTTCGGCCTGGCCATTTGACCTAGGGTGGTACTGAGGCGTTGTAATGTGGTCCACCTGATATGACTTGCAAAAGTCTCTAAATTCACTTGATGTGAATTGAGTGCCATTATCTGTAACTACACAGTCTACCACGCCAAAACGCGCGAATAGCTCGTGTAGAAATCCAATCGTGCAGTTTGTGGTTGGTCTTTTGCATTGTAGGACCTCAGGCCATTTTGAGTGGCTATCCACAACAATGAGGTAGTACATGTTGTCTATAGGCCCTGCAAAATCGATATGAATTCTTTGCCATGGATGGTCTGTGTTTGGCCATGGTTTGCACGTCGTGGTTGGAGCTTTTGCTGCAAGCGCGCATCCTTTGCATGATTCTATCATGTCTGCTATGTCCTTGTCTATGTTTGGCCAATAAACATAGCAGCGCATGAGGCTTTTCGTACGGTTCTTCCCCGGGTGTCCCATGTGAGAATCCCTGAGGATTTTTCTTTGTAGGCTGTTTGGAATCACTACGCGGTCATTGTATAGTAGGGCATCATCGCAGAGGGAGAAAACTTCAGGCAGATTGGGGTCTTTGTTGCGAATTTTGCTTTTTATGGATTAAATGAATTCATCCTCTCGAGACTCCCTTTTTATGTCGGTCAAAGTAACTGGGAGCTCTCTTATGGTACTCGCGATCATGTTTTTGATTTCACAATTTGTCCTTAGAGTAGCAATGATGGAGTCTTCAAAGACTTCTGTATTTTTTGGAATGAGTCGCGATAAACTGTCTGCATGGCAAATATTTTTGGATGTTAGGAACTCTATCTTGAAATTATAGTTTAATAGAATCGTTCCCCAACGAAGTAGTCTATTTGCAGTATAGACTAGCAGACCTTTTTTAGAACCAAAAATTGTAATTACAGGTTTATGTTCCGTCTGCAGTATGAACCGTCTGCCATGTAGACATCTGTGAAACTTTGTCACAGCTAATATTAACCCTAGAGCCTCTTTCTCTATTTGGGAATATTGTTTCTCAGCTGGAAGTAGAGAACTTGATACGTGAGCCACAGCTTTTCGTGAACCATCTGGCAGTTTATGCAGAATGCAAGCACCAATGCCGTACGAGCTTGCATCACTTGCGACTATGATGTCGAGACTAGGGTCGTAATGGGCGAGGGAGAGGTCTGAAGTAAGAGTTTTCTTGATCTTCTCGAATGCGTCTTGGCATTCCGGGGTCCATGACCATGGTTTGTCCTTTTTTAAGAGTTGGTTGAGAGGCCCTCTCAAATTTTGCATGTTCTTAATGAACCCTTGGTAAAAGTTAGCTAGGCCGAGGAAGTTTTGTAATGCTTGAACGTTATCTGGGACCGGCATGTTTCTGATCACGTTGGCTCTTTCTGGATCCGGCCGACGACCGTCTTTATTTATGATGTGCCCTAAGTATTTAATCTCTGGTAAGAAAAAGTCACACTTTGCCTCCTTAATCTTAAATCCGTATTCTTGTATCTTTTCGAATACGTTTATTATATAGTTCCGGTGCTCTGCCGTAGTTTTACTAGTAACCAGTATATCATCCATATAGGCTGTTGCGTAGTCAAGGTCGCCCAGCATGGCGTCCATGACCTGCTGGAAAATTGCAGGTGCAACCTTTACTCCAAAAGCCAGTGTTGTATTTGTACAACTCTCTATGGGTGTTTATGCAGAGCAATTTGGAACTTTCTTCTTCCACCTCTATCTGAAGGTATGCGTCCGAGAGGTCGATTTTAGAAAAAAATTTTCCACCATTGAGTTTATTGAAAATTTCTTCAGGGCTTGGGAGAGGATAGTTGTGATCTTGCAAGGCATCGTTTAACCCTGTGGAAAAATCTGCGCATACTCGTATTTGATTGGACTTCTTTTTTACGTAGACCGTAGATGCTGCCCACTCGCTGAAATCTGTTTTTGACAGAATACCTGCTTGTTCGAGTCTATCTAACTCTTTGTTGATTTGCTCTAGAGCAGCGAAAGGGATATTCCGTTTCTTTTTGAATACCGGTTGTGCACCGTCCTTCACCTTGAACTTAGCTTTCATTTTAGTACATTTCCCAAGGCCGCCAGAAAAAACCTGGGGAAATTGTTGTTTGAGTTCCTTTTTTAGATTTACCAAATTGGACGTTGTACTTTGTATCTTGCGACAAAATGTATTCATTGGGCAATCCCAAAGATTGAATGTTTCTATCCAATCTCTTCCAAATAAGTTATCTGAAGTTTTCAATACGTAGGCTTTGAGCTTTTTGGTAACTCCATTTAGTGTTACTGTAAGTATTACCTCGCCTAAAATGTTAATCTTTTCGCCAGTTACAGATTTTGCTGTTTTATCCGTTTTTAATAAGGTCGGCTTGTTTAATTTTCGCCAAGTACGCCAGTTAATGGTTGAAAGATCGGAACCCGAGTCAAGCTGGAATTTAATGGACTTATTGAAAATATCCACAGTTACATATTTTCTTAAATTCCTATCGACAATATTGTCAGATTGAGCTTGCCT